ATGCACTGCTGTGCTACTACAGGTATTTTGAACAGTGCAACTTGAAATTGTACTAAAGTTGTGCAGACCCTTCAGCAATTGGGGCATTTGAAAGTAAATTACTGTTAAATTTAAATTAAATTAAATAAAACATGTAGTCTTACATCTAGGGATGCACCGAAATGCAAATTCTGGGCCAAAACAGAAACCGAAAATTCTGGATGCACTTGGCCGAAAACCGAAACTGCTTTGTAATGATTATTTATAATTTAATAAAATAATATAAAGTAATTTTGTAAGACTTTTATAATTTAACTCAATTTTAATGATACTGAATTAAAAAAAAAAAAACACAAGCCAATAAAATAACCACTTTTACTAAAAGTATGTAGCGTCTGGACCAATCAAACACACAATTTTTCATTTGATTTAACAAATCAGTTATTCATTAGATTAACAAATCGTCACAGTCCCCTCACCCAATAAACTGGATGCCAGGATGTCTGCAACGACACCAGGCCCCCCCTGGTTACCATGGCAACCCTGACACCAGATACATTTACGACCTAATGGAAAGTAGGGAAAATCATTGCCTTTTTCATAAGGAAGAGATACAGTGCACAGTAGAAATTGACTCTTTTCTAATTAATTCATAGGAAAACCTTTCTTTGAATGAACACACATACCCTTCAGGTCATCGTGTATGTTGTCTTTGAGATTTTATACTGTTTTATGCAGGCTTATGATACTTCTATGTAACAGAATCAGGTAAGTTTTTTTTTTTGACTAATTGTCCAAATAATGCATAGTCCTACAAAGCTATTATTATCAGAGCATATGAGCAGAGCATAGAGTCACTGAAGGTAGCATTATTTTACCAGTTACACGAGCGGAATGCACATTCATAGATCGGAATTCTGAGCGGAGCTCAAACTGCGCAGTGACGAGGAGAGTGAAACCTGCGCACTGAACACTGCCGGGCGGGGTGCGACGCGGTGCGCCATATATATTATTATTATTATTATATGTAGCCTATATTTTCGGTGCATCCCTACTTGCATCCCCTCCTTGTTTACAAATCTGAAGTAAGTCCATACATCCGATTTAAACGCGGACGGGGCTTTCCTGATAACTTTCTGCGATGCCGCCCTCTTTATTTTACTAACTTACTGCATGCTGAAGGTGACCCAGCTGTCCTCACCAGAAATAAACTCAACACCACCATCTAGTGGATTGTAAAGAAATTGATTTTATTATTCTACCAAATAGTAAAATAAAAGATCGATACAGTATTGCCGCGGAAAATATCGCGATACTATGCTGTATCGATTTTTCCCCCCACCCCTAATCCTCACTGCACAGCTTTAAGCAGATAATGACGTCAACTACCCTTGGGTAATTCGTCACACAGTCCAACTTTTCATGTGGGAATTTGACATGTGGGAAGTCGTGGCCTAATGGTTAGAGAGTTAGACTAGTAACCCAAAGGTTGCGGGTTCGAATCTCGTACCGGCAGGGATTGTAGGTGTGGGGAGTGAATGTACAGCACTCTCTCCTACTTTCAATACCACGACTGAGGTGTCCTGACCCAACTGCTCCCCGGGCGCCGCAGCAAAAAAAATGACTGCCCACTGCTCCAGGTGTGTGTTCACGGTGTGTGTGTGTGTGTGTTCACTGCTGTGTGTGTGCACTTTGGATGGGATAAATGCAGAGCACTAATTCCGAGTATGGGTCACCATACTTGGCCACATGTCACGTCACTTCACTTCGTCACTTCGACTGAAAAACTGTCAGTTGTCTTACCTTGATACTACGTGAGGGAAGAGATTCCCTTTCCGAAGCCTTCTGAGCCAAGGTTTCCAGGTTGACCTCTTGCGACACCCTCCTCTTACGTCGTGTGCTCTGGATTACACCTGTTGGAGCGGCCCGGATGTCTTGCACCGCACTAGTCTCAGAAGCACCATTCTGAGAGCCTTGGGTGTGGAGATCAGTCGGCATGACAAATGGGTTATCCGAGGCAGGGCCTCCACCCTCTTTTGAAAGCCGACGTGATCTCCGGGGCCCAGGCTGTTGGGTCTCGATGGATTGCTGGGGAATAGTTGAGGGAGGCTGAGGAATGGAGTCTTGAGTCTGTGTTGACGGTGGATCAGTTGTCTCTTGGGACTGTCCTGGTAATGAGGGCTGATGCTGATCAAGTGAAGAAGCATGTGGCTGCTGGCAATCAGAGTAATTTTCCAATACATTCTGGTTCTGAAAAAGAGGCTGCTCAGATTTTTGGTGCTGCTGCACCAAGTCTTGTTGCGGTTGAATTTGTTGCATATGTTGTTGTGGCGGTTGCTGTTGCTGAGTATGTTTTAACTGCCGTGCTTGTTGCTGCAACTGTGATTGTGATATCTGTTGTGGCTGTTTTTGACGCTGAAGTACCTGCTGCTGCTGCACCTGTTGTCGTATCTGCTGTTCCAGCTGTTGTCGCTGTTGGAACATTATTTGCCGCTGCAGCTTTTGCTGTTGCTCATGTTGCTGTAGTTGCTGCTGTAGTTGGGAATTCGTCTGTGTACTGTAATTCAAATTCGGCAAGGTCCGATTTCCCTGAACTACCTGATAGTATCCTGCTACCAAGTTCTGCTTGGGCTGTCCGAAAGCTAACTGAAAGGGTTGCAGCACAGAATTCCCAGGGTTGGACTGTCCGTGCTGCTGTGGATTTAACATTCCAGGCTTTTGTGTTTGCTGAAAGGCCTGCTGCTGTTCCCAGTCCATGCCTCTGCCAGATTTGGTCGTATCCCTAAAGGTCTCTCCACTTATGTTAGCCACTTGTTTTTCAGTTGCCCTAATAGTTGATGGCTCAGGTTGCTGCTGCTGTACTGACATGCCCTCATGCATCTGCTTTGCAAAAGCAGCCTGAGCCCCCAGGTAAGGGCCAAAGTTCTGGGACCAAGCAGTCATACCCTGTGACCAATTGTTTGGTCGCTGTTGGAGCTGCAAAGGTGGGTCTTGGTGTGACCACTTCATGGGCATCATCTGTTGGTAGTGCCCACGGCTTTGATCACTCTTCTCAGGGCTGAAAATGACAGAATTGAGGTACGTATGTGGTGCTTCTGCATTCAAGCTTTCCACACCTCCCCTGTCATTATGGCCTGGCCCTGAGGGAGGGACCCCAATGCCATAGTAGGGCTCTGTATGCTGAGAGGCCTCTTTCATCGCCACACCCTGATCGCTAAAGAAAGTGATGCGCTTGCCCGTTCTTTTTGCGTTTGGTTTCTGTTGAGGTTGCAAACTCATGCCTTTCATGAATATAGATTCTGGGGAGTGGTGGAGTGGGAGGTTAAGAAGACAAGAGTTCAAATTCCCAAACCACACAAAGTTTTAATGAAGAGTCTTAGAGTATCGCCCTTGACAAAGAACCCTTGATTGGTTTAATGACAGTTAATGGTCATCCAAACCTACTCAGCATGGTAGGAATGCAGGTAAGCTTTAAAAGAAAAAACTGCAGCATCTCCTGTTCAGAAATAGTAGTTTCAGTACGATGTAGCTCAAACATGTCCATTTGCTTTTTTCTTCACTGCCAACTCTTCCGCTCCCGGGATGTCAAGCTGGGTTGAGAAGTCTTTAGTTTAACATGTTGCTCATTCATTGAAGACAACCTAAGAAGAAAGTGATGACAAATATTATGGTTAGACTTCAGAGTCAGTGCTTTGGGCTTAGTGGGGGTTCATTGAAATAGCGGTTTCAGCAATTTCATGAATAGAACCCTAGAGAAAAGAATTTGAAAGGGAAAGGTGGATTGTTAAGGGTTGGGGGAACTGTGACATTAGCAGTTTAGTGCATATAATAAAACAATGTTGAACAAACTGCAGGTAATTTGTTCAGTATGCACACAAACCAAGATGACACATATGTGAGAATGCTACGTGTGAGTAGGGGGAAAATGTAATAATTGTTTCTAGATTGTTAGCAGAGAGGGCAACAGGGAAAGTGAGTAAGATGAGCAGAGACGTACAGTTGCACACACAATCCCACAGAGAGTGTGAAAATGTACTAGCCTAGTTTCACAATGACATTGTTTGAAGGTAATTCCCCTCATAGTTCACATCAGCATCCAAATATTAACATCAAAATCAATAAAAGTCTATCACTAATCAGCTATACCCTCCTCTCATAAATCATGGAGGGCTTGCATTTTGTTATGAGCATGTGCATATATAGCAATGAAATGAATAATGAATCATCTTAGATATCTCAGAGCATATCTCAAAACGGTTAAAGTCACCATGAAATCAAAATGGAAAATTCTTATTTTTTTAATGGAATACTGTAGTGTTTATTATAAATAATTTATTCGTGCACTTCATTATTTTTTTAAAGTCATGTGCCCTTATAATCTTTAATCAAAAACGTTAACTCCCCCCCCCAAAATGACTCATCTTCTCTTCCGGTCACGAGCTATGGCGCAAGGGCAGAGCTAGTGACGTGAGGGGTAAACGCTGGGATAAACGACAGGGGGAAAAGCTGAAGCTGATGCTTCAGAACACACACTATTTATTCACTCATACACTTATTTATCTAACACTCATACTCAGTCTACACCTCAAATTTGCACATAATATACAGTATCTGTACATACAAAAACTGTCTATTGTAATATACCTGCACGTACAATTGTCAATTTATATATTTTTATTCCTTATTTACTTGTTCTATTTTTTATTATCTGTGTTTTTTGTTCTGTCACTGTCATTCTGTTACACTGTGGAAGCTTCTGTCACGAAAACAAATTCCTCGTATGTGTAAACATACCTGGCAATAAAGCTCATTCTGATTCTGATTCTGATATTAGGATATTACGACAACATTACTCTTAGGACATCGCAAACAAATTTTTTTCCATGAATATAACAAATATGACACGCGCGCACAGGCATGTTTTGTGCCGTTGATCGTCGTCGTCATCCTTAATAAATAAAACATTTATTCATGCTTGGGTGTCAGCGGTGAATCCAGTGGAGAGAAATCCCCCACCACTAACTGCAAACTGGCATTCAGATCTGCCTCACCTCCATTTTGTTAGCAACGCCCCAGCTTCCAACGATCCAATCAATTCCCGAAAGACGAAATCAAGTCCCGCCCTCTCATTTCAGATGCCGTTTCACTCGGATATACGTCACAGTAGAGAAGAAAAGACAATCGCAACTTCCGTTTCATGCCGACTTTAACTCATGAGAGCACATTTATTAAAAGAAATATATATCTTCATGCAAGCAAATTATAAACTACACAAATAAGGTCAAAGCACACTACCTGATGATTTTACATATTTATTTTGTGATCTATATTTAATAATGGTTTATTGTCCTTAAATTTAACGTACATTAGTGTTTCTGCTTTTACTAACACTGAATACCTGTGCTAAAATCACAGTAGTGCACATCTCACATGGCTTTTTGCTTTATTACACCGACCAATACAAATGTTCTCTATGCTTAGTATAAAATAGCACTGAAATCTAAACTTTGTGCACCTGAATCCTTCCAATGAATGTTTCTTATTACTTATATATTACATTATGCATATACTGTATATTGCCAGCTAAATTGCATTATAAATACATAACACCCGTATTTACAACAGCTGTTTTTATTAAGACAACTAAAAGAAGGATTTAAAAGATATTCTAAAAAAAAAAAGACTGTTTTTTAGCATGATTAAATGGAAATGTACATTAACCAACTTCAAGTTCAAACTATTGAAAAAACTAAATAACTGAGCATTCTGCATGTTTAAAAATTAACATTCATTTAATTACATTACATTTGGCCAACTCACATATCGTGAAATCAACATACGGTAAAGTGTATACATACTGCGTATTCAAAGCAGCCATTTAAAGCTGCAGTATATCCAGGGCTGTCGCAACGCAATGAGAAACACCCCTAACTGCACGGGGATGTAAACAACAATTGCATCAACCAAACCAGCGTCCGCTTAAAGTGTGAGAACCATATTGCAGGTCAAGTTTACCTAACACATTTCAGTGCATTACATTTTTTATTCGAGTAATCCATCGCATGGCGTTCTGCTGAAAACTGCGCGCAGTGAACGCAAATAAATGTCATTACATTGGCAAAACAACACAAGACACAGCGAGGCACGGTTATACTAGCCACGGTTTTAACAGCTGACGAGAACGCGTTTAATAAGCTTGTAACGTCAAGTATGGTTACCTAATCGTACCTAGTTCTTAATTTAAACCACAAACGAATGCAGATTTGACTCAAGTGCTAAGACATGAGCGAGAATTCCCCTCAGAGAGAAGTGCTTGTGGCTCAAGACCTAGTCAGCTGCCTCACTAGAAAGCATTTTAGGGGGCGTAGACACAGAACGGGGTCTCTAGTTTATCTAGTTTTAAAGAGTTTATCTACTTTTAAAGGAATAGTTCACCCAGGAATTAAAATGCGGTCGTCATTTACTCACTCTCATGTTGTTCCAAACCTGTATGACTATAATTGTTCCGTGGAAAATTAGATGTTGTGCAGAATGACAGCCATTCACTTTCATTTTGTGGAAAAAGACGCGCAAAAAGTGAATAGTGACTGAGACTGACTAACATCTTGTTTTGTGTGCCATAAAAAAGCAAGCCGTACGGCTTTGGAACAACATGCGTGTGAATAAATGACCAGAACTCTCATTTTGTGCTACTATACTTCGACGCGCGGTTTTATTTACGCGACGCAGGACGGCCGCGTTGCGTTCGAACGTTCGAAAAGCGCATTCAAGCCCCTCAAAAAACTGTCTGGGTAAACAGCTCAATATATTTTGAGACACAGACAGAGTGTTTGCATACTGGGTGCCCTCCCTGGACCCCCCTTCCTAGTGAAGCCAGCTCAGCGCTATTTACCAGAAGTCCTTTGTTGAAGAAAAGGGATTATCCAGTCACTAATTCCGTGTCACACTGCAACAAAGTGAGACAACAATACACCCTATGAAGCATGTTTGAGCAGCAAAATAATAAAAGTGGTATATGACAAGCCCCCCCTTCTTTCTCTTCCTAGTTGTCAACTCTGGTGAATGTAATTTGTGCGCAAGTTAGTTCATGCTTTTCAGTATTAACGTACAAGGGAGTAAGAGCCACACGTAGCGCACGCTCGAATTCGACTAATATTCTGCTATAACTTAATAATGATATCCACTGCATGATTTCGATTTACTAAACAGTCCTAAACATTTAATATTAGGCGTTTAAAAAGCATCCTTACCGTGCTTGTTCTGTTCTACGTTTGTTTTCAGGTCGCCCTAAGAACAACTGCAAGGTCCAATGCAACAGTAGAGAAATGACTGTATGCTTATCCACGATTGAGTCATGCAATGCTGACCTCACTCCAGTAATATTCAAGTCAAGAGGTAGATCCTTGTGCAAACGAAACCAACGAGAAATGGAAATGGAGGGCTTCTTTGACAAAATGGCGTGGCGTTTTTCCAAACAATTGCACGCGATTTCGTTATTATTGCACGCGCATGCGAATCAAAACGCCCAAAACAGTGTAGTTCACTCGTACATGAAGTATGGAACAACACATTCTCTTTCAGCTGAAGTCTTGTGATCCCCTACTGTCCCGTTGGCCACACCCACTTCCGCTACCATATAAGGCCTTTCCCCTACCATGCGGGGCGCTGTAAATTACTGCAAATGCACAGGCCATGCGGGAAATTCCGTCACTGGGACACGTTCTTAAAAGCATGGCTTGTACCAAACATCCCCATCTATACCTGGATCGAGTGAATGAATTACAATATGTGTGGTCAGTGAGCAAAAAGACAAGGCACGTGGCTCAAACTAGTAGAAATCCAGCAACTCAGAGATAGCCTTTATGAGGTTAATCATAACAAAAAAAGGCTACACTGTGGTTGTTTGGATTGGGGACCAGGGAGTGTTAACAAAGTGTGTTGTAACACTAACAGTTGAACCAATAAGAAATGAGCTACAGAGGTGAAATCGCTATGACCACCACCCTCCTGATATGACAATATAGATACTGGTAAAATACACAGGATATAGGACAAGTATGTCTGCATTTTAATTTGTGATCATTATCGTCTGAATCAGCGGTTGAATTTGACATAAGCTTTTCATCTACATGATTAAGAACTAGAATTATCATATCTGAGCAGGTGGGAGGGGTTGTAACACTATCCGGTGCTATCCCACTGTCCCATTTTGCACAATGTATAGGCCTACATTTCCCACAATTGTGAGAGTGACTAACACAAACTTGCAAGCACAATGTTTTATTTTTTTTAGATGGACTGCTATGATGATAAATTTTCATTTTTTAATAATTAATGTACAGTTCTAACATTATATTTTGGCATTAAATTACAGAAAACTAGTTAACGCTGCTGTGTGAGTGTTTCTACTACAATGGCTGAGAGTGCAAAGGCAAATTTGACATCTTTCTCTCTCAGGCTCAAATTACTGAGGGTGCTTTTTAAATTAGTGAGGGTGTCAATATATATATATATAATTTTTTTTTGCCGCCCATTGCTATGGTGCAAAGAGCGCTCCCTTTATAATTACTAAAAAACTGTCACTCATCTTAGTTCATCGCGATCTCACAAAGTTACGTTATAATCAACAAAGGTCTCTACGCTGCACAATGAATCTCTTATTTACATTACATCGTGTCTACACTTTGTTATTATGAGATGATTCATGCTGCTCCGGTGATTTGAGCGGTGAGTGGATTCAAACTTAAACACCTTTGATTGGCTGCTGCGTTCAAGAAATCAACAGACATGTCTGTGATTGGCTATATTGCGCAACACTGCACAAACATGTTGAAATAGAAAATGATCCCCAGAGCGCAAACCATAACGCACTGGAGAGCTTGCTAAATCTGCAATGAAATGCCATTATTACAGCTTTAACTGAGGGTGCTATTGATTTCGTTTGAGGTTTCGTTTCGCTAAGCACCCTCAAACACCCCCGTAGAACTGGGCATGTTCTCTGATCTGACCATCATGATCAATCTCTAGATATTTTTTCCTCTTTTGTAAAGTCATAGAAATGCGATCATGGATTTTTCTTTTGCTATTGAAACAAATGTGAACGAAAAAATTATTTGTTCTAGTTTCTGTTTACCACTATAGATGTTTACCCAACTATGGCAGCTTCCACTTCTAAAAAAAACCCCGGAAATGTGTAAAGGCTTCACTGGTTTGTTTTATCAGCAGTTTTGAAATTGAATTTTAAATGAAAACATTTAAAATGAACAGAAACTGAAGTGATTATGTTGTACAGCTTGATTACCCCAAAAAAATAAATAATGCATAACACTTAAAATGTCCAGGTTTTAAGATTGCTACGCTCACTCGTGAGGTGGGTTGTAACATCACTCTTTGTACTTAACACTAATTTACAGTTTAGAGATAAATTGTGCATTTCTAAACTACTTTAACATGTAGCAGACAAATAAGAGATTATTTCACAATCTTAAGAGACCTTGGTTAAAGAAAAAAAGAGTGTTACAACAGTTAACACTCCCCACTCTCCCATACTGAATGTAACGTTACACTAGAAAGCCTCTCACTCTCAATCCATTCTCACTGATACGATTGTTATCAATATTACAAGGGAACATTGTGAACATGATTATGATAGAGTGCGCAGAGTCAAGGTAACTGCTGTAAGACAGACTCCCTTTTTAACAGTATTTGAGAAACTTCTGAACTCTGTGTAACACTAATCACGCCTAGAACTGGGAGCATTTGTGCATGCGTGCAGAGGCTCAGCAGCACGGACATGATCGAGCATGTGCTGCCGTGAGTAAGGAGACACCCATAGGCCTCATCGTGTCAGTGTTCCTGTACTCTCTCTCTCTGCTGTGCCTTAAAATAAAGTGCAAAGCCACCAGACATGCGGCCATCCATTCACAGGGTATGGCATGTGCTGAGTGTACCAGCCTCAATAAACAATCTGATACCTCGAATGCTATTCGGGTGTGTAAAATATAATTCTCAGACATTACTGTGAGTAGATGCATATTGCAGGCAGCCTTCTTGCATTCTTAATCATAAAATGCAGATGGGCGCGTAAATGCATGCCTATTTAATGGTTACAATGCACGTATGATTCCCAGCCAGAAATCAAACTGGAAGTACATAACCAATTTAGAGATGTAAAACCCCCTGTACTCGTTGTGATGGCTTAGGGGGAAGGCTGACACAAGTTTATATGACACAGTTGTTGCAACACCACCAAATGTTGCAAAACAGTAACATGATCCATAATGCAGGTACAAAACTGACATAGGCGCTACTAACACGGTCACTGATTTAAAGGGAACGCTTGCATTTAATAACGAGAGAAGAAATCGTTAGACATTTGTTGCAACAACTGTTCCTCTGATAAGCCCTTTCTGTTGCTCACATGTGTAGTTGCAGCTCTTGCTGCGTTCCTGCAAAAATGTGTTTACATGAAACAGTTCGCCACTCGCAACACTGACAAAAGCGCTCTAATTGTTTCTGTCAAAAGTAAGGAACCACCCAAACGAATTCATCCTCCAGAAGAACAAGGTCTTCTTTCGACGTCCTGCAGAAACTTATCATAAGTCTATGTTTTACGAGTGGATTCAAACTGGACCTAGTTGGAAAGGAGTTATTGCGCATTACATTACCTCTAAAACATCTGCGACGTAGCTCCAGGGATCCAGATCTTTTTCGCGTTGCTTTCAAGAAAAAAAAGGGGGAAAAAACTTTAAGCCTTTGCTTGTAGCGTCACTTCCTCGTTGGTAACAAGAGCGCCACCCGCTGCAAATTGCACAGTGATGCAATTTTTCTCTTGCACATTTAGTACAGGAGACACCTTTAGTGAATGTTGTGGCAAATTTACGATCAAATATAAATATATACAACTCCTCATCCTAATGTCATGTGTGCTAAAAAGCAATTACTATTAAAGTACATTTCTTAAACGATCCCATATGAAATCACATGGTAAAGATTTGCACTAGTGTCCAAAGTAAACACACACGCTATGTCCGAATCATAATTGTGAATCAGTCGAACCTTTTCACAGAACCTTCTGGACGATTCGTTTACCAATCAAACTGAATCAGTTCGAGAAGTTCTCGATCTCGAGTCAACAACTTCGACTTTTAAACAATACATTTTAATAAAACATGCAAAAACGCTTGTTTAAATTAAATTCGAGTTATATTTAGATTTTAAATGACTTTAGAACTAATTTGGAACTAACATGGAATTACAGTGAGTCTGCTTATTATTGTTATGACGTTTTTAAATGTCAATGTGCATGTAGTAATAAAAAGAACCGGTTCTTCGAAATGAACTGTTCAAAGGAACCGATTCGCGAGTCTGAATTCCCATCATCGCAACACATGCGACCAGATCTTTAAAGCTCATGCAGCCAATCAGACGAGCTCCTGCGAGTCATGTGATTATTTCAGGAAGAAATGCAGTCGCTGCAAGCAAAATTTTTGAGAGTTGCATTATGAATAACTACGAGTTTTCTTTTTTAAAAACATTAAGTAGTAAAAGAAGGGAAAATGTTAAATGTAAAAAGAGTTGTGTTGTGCTCTCGACCAGGTAAGCCATGTTGACATTTGCTAGTTTACAAATCATTAACAACAATATGTAGTCCAATAATCATGTTTCCCCCCTATATATGATTAGGCAAAAATGGTCATCCGGTTCCAGAGAATTTCCGTGTAGAGGAGATAATGAAATCACCCGAGCTGAAAGAAGGACAAGTGTTAGTCCGCACACTCTTCCTATCAGTTGACCCTTACATGGTGAGATGACCTTACTTGTGTTTGTTATTGAGGTTTCATAAAGGAAATTCACGAAATTCATTCATTTCATGTGGGAAATATAGTATAGTTTACTATATTCATATAGTGAATATTTCCTTCATGAAAACTCAACCTGTAATCAATATACTACCAGGCATTAACTTATTCACTCATACATGAAACAATATTAACACCAAACTCAATGCAGCGCTGTCGCATGAACGATGATACTGGAGCTGACTACCTGTTGCCATGGAGATTAGGGGAGTGTGTGGATGGAGGTGGAGTTGGTGTAGTGGAGGCCAGCAAGACTCAGGCATTATCTGTGGGCACTTCTGTCACCTCATTCAACTGGCCTTGGCAAACCTACGATGTGATGGATGGCAGCCTTTTGCAAAAGGTATAGTGTTCATTTTGGCAAGCTTGATTTATAGTCTTCAGGTTTATGGATGTGTGGTGTACTCGTTCTTGCAGGTTGACCCAGAGATGGTCGATGGTCACCTGTCGTATGTTCTAGGAGCTGTGGGCATGCCTGGCCTTACTGCTGTTTTAGGTGTGAGAGAGAAGGGTCATGTGACTCTAGGAAGCCACCAGACGATGGTCATCAGTGGAGCAGCTGGAGCTTGTGGGTCGATTGCTGGACAGGTAATATGCAAGTGGAAATATGAAATCGGTCTGTTCTCTATGGAAAGATTTAGTTTTGACAACATTTTAGATGCATTTGAAAAGGGTTATTATAAATCAACTT